GTCGTGTGCGTCCCCCCCACCTGCCGATGGCCAAACACGCGCGGTTAGTGGCTTAACTCTCAGTTCCCCCTTCTGCTTGTGTTCAGGGAGGACCTCTGCTATTTCCTGCTACTTTGAACAGGAGGATCTTTGTGAAACTCTCTCTGTGAATAGGAGGCTCTCTACAAACCCTAAACAACACCCTGTTCCCCCAATTCATTTTGTTGTGGGGGCTGTATTCCTGTTTGTGGGGGAAATTTGTCCCTCCCCTCCGTCTCCAGAGCCCCATCAATTCCTGCTTCTGTTTCCCGTCTTTCTCTGCCTGTGCATTCGTTGGGAATATCTTCACGGTCCCGGTACCCACATATTTCAGGGTCCCCGTGTACTTCACTGATGTGAAACCTTTGTGGATGTCGTTGTCGTGTATGTCCTCCGTTTCCCTACCTCCACCTGTCTTCAGCTGAAACTCTCCCACCCACATTTTTCTTCTGTCCAGAAATCTGCTGGCCTGTATTCTAACTCTCGCCGAAATCTGCCTACCCATCTTCTTCTCTCCTGTCTTACCTAAATTGGCTGACAATGACTTGATTTTTAAAATTCTCATACTTGTTTTCGTATCCCTCCCTGGACATCTTCTGAAATATCTTCTTCAGACCTAACCTCTTGCATGTCCCTGATTCCCGTCGCTCCACCTCGGGTGACTGTGCCTTCAGTTGTCTTGAGGCCCTAATCTCAGGAAATCCCTCCTTTAAACCTCTAATCCACCACCCCCCTTCCCATTAAGACCCTCCCTAAAACTTCGACCAAACTGTTGGCTGTCCTCATTTCCTTCTGTGAGCCTGTGTCAAATTTTGATCAAAATCATGAAATGCCTTGGGATGTTTTGCTGTGTTAAAGATGCAGGGTGTTGTTGCTGGTGCAGTGTTTCCAGTTCAGAAGGCTCCTTGCAGTGAGCAGCGAGATCCCCTTTTTAGAGCATAGTGTCATACAGCACGGACACAGACCCTTCGGTCCAACCAGTCCATGCCGAACATAACCCCCAACTAAACTAGTCCCACCTGCCTGCTCCTGGTCCATATCTCTCCAAGCTTTCCCTATTCAGCAGCTCACCACCACCTTCTCAAGGGCGACTAGGGACGGGCAAGAAATGCTGGCCAGCCAGCGATGCCCACATCTCACAAATGAGTTGAAAATTAAAACTTTTCTATATGTCTTTTAAGTGTAACTGTACCCATATCCACCACTTCTTTCTCAAGTGTTTTGTGGGGGGGTGGGGTACGCATGATAGACGACTGTGCGATTTTCCTGGCACTCACGTTTTGCCTTTTTCTTGAACCCCACCCTATGCCAGGCTTTGCCACCCAGCACCTCAGTCGCAGGCATCTACTGTGCCATAGTTGCCCTCTTCTTCACCGTGGTCAAGTCTGTCAACTACCGCCTGCACGCCATGTTCGACGAAGGGGAGATTGTGGAGAAGAAAAACCCGCAGCTGGCTGTGGATGGTGCCAAGCTTGAAGAGTGCGAGCCAGGGGGCGGTGAGGACAGTACCCTCAGGTGAGTGGGTGGTGGGGAGGTTTGGAGGGAAGGGGAGGAAGGAAATCCCTGCATTTGAGCTGAAGCAACCTCCCAATTCCTTCCTTCCTCACCCCAACTCAGTCAGGACCCAAAGCTCCGTTATTCGGTGGATTGGCCATTCGGCTGCATTGAAGAGGAAGTGAGCTGCTAGCCATAACCTGTCTGGTGACTGGCAGTGCCCACCCCAGAGATCGGGCCACGCTGGGTGTAAATGCCTCGGCTTCCCGACAGCACGCAGACTGACCACCGTCTTCCTGGGCAGGCCATCATACCCGTCAAATGACATTAACTGATCTCAGTCTCTGTTCCCTCCCCACCCCACCACGCCGATTCGCCACTTTTAATTCAGGGGTGGGCCATTAAATGCTAGCCAACATCCCACCAATGTGTCCTTCTTGTTTTAAAAGGAAAAAGCTAATGGAGATGTTGAACCTTATTCTGACCGCTTCGGTAGCGCAGGCCCACGGGAGCCCGTTCAACTCGTTGTGCCTTTGGTTTTTCCTCAATTAGTCCCACTTTTTCCACCCCCCCCCCAACTCTTTCCTGATTGCCCTGCCTGCCTTAGGAGTATTTACCTCGTTCTCTTTTCAAAAACTGAGGTCAAGTCTGTTTCCTCAGGCCTTTCGGGCAGCACTTTCCTGGTCAGCGCAACAAGGGTGCTAGCCGTTGGCGCACTTCTAGATGGGCCAAAGGGCCTTTTTCTAGAACTCTATGACTCTTGGGGGGGGGGAGAAAAGCAAACGTCCCCTTCAT